AGCACCACCGGCTTGCCATCCGCTCCCTTAAACACAGCTCGTCCCGCACCAGCCACCTTCAGCGCGTGTCCAGAGGCGGAGCACACCTCGTTGATCGGTACAGCGCGTACGTGGTCCAGCAGGTCCTTGCGCGGCGTCATCGTCCAAGCAGCGCCCGTGTCCAACACCCAATAGTCCAGGGGGTGCAGCTCTGCTCCAACCTTGGCAGAGGCATCTCCTTGCTCCCCCTGCTCTCCAATATGGAAGAACTGGCCCGCGGTGCGCTCCTTCTTCTTCTCCGCACCACTATTGCTCTTCGGGTTGTTGTCGGACGAATCGGCGACCATGCTCGCGCCGTTTTTCTGGTTCCTCCGCGCGCCGCCATCCTGGTGACGATTCTGGGGGGTCCATCCATCGGGTTTCTTATAGCACAAAAACCAGGGGTGCCCCTCCTTCTCAGAATACCAGCAATCCCTTTCATTTTGCCACCAGCACCCGACTTGCCCCCACGTCCAGATTTCGCACCGCGACCCCAACCGGTACCTCCTTGTTGGTCGTTGGAGTCGTCGTCCTTCTTTGCACCGTGTCCAGCACCACCGAAGCCACGTTCTCAGCCACGTCGGCTCCCTTGCATCCTGTAGCCGCTGCTGCCGTCGTCTCCACCCCTCAGTTGGCGGCGACGGAAGTCCTCCTCCAGAATCTTTGTCCGCACCCACTCGAGTGTCCACGAGCTCTGGTTCTGCGGCAGGCTCAATCCGCTCGTGAATTGAAGCCACGATTCCGGCAGCAGCGAGAGCATCTTCAAACACTTGGTCTGCTCCGGGTAGGTGATTCCCGCGGTCGCCAACTTCGCGTAGAGGTCGCGCATCTTGTCCAGGACAGGTTGCACCGGCTCTCCCTCGCTCAGGCGCAACGCGGACAGCTCCCTCTCCAGCATCAACGTTGCAACAACGGAGGTCGGGGCGTGCAGCTCCTTTAATACGGTCCACGCCTTCGGACCGCACTCAACCTCCGGCAGCAGGTGCATGACGTGGTGACGCTGGTTCAGCTCCAAACTCTGGGACATTAAACAGTAGCCAGCCGAGGAGCGCTCGTCCCAATCTTCCTGCAGCGTGGGGTCACTCGGTCTAGGCTCCTCCCCAATCATTAGTTTCAGCAATCCAACCTGACGGAAATATAGTTGCATTTTCCAGGCCCAATCATCATAGCCCTCACCATTGAACTTCTCGACGGTGAAGTTCTTCAGCACCTCCTTGACCAGCGAGCCCTGGTTTGTTCGCGCTCCCCTTGGCGCTGAAACACTAGAATCTTGGCTGCCGCTACGATCTTGGGCTGAAGATTCACCAGCTCCCGTCCAGGTGTTGCCCGCCATAGCTACCTATATCGAGGATTACTATAACGCAGCTCTGATACCAGCTTGTTGGTGTAAGGGCCTAATCAACTCAAGCTATTAAGACTTTATCAAACTTAAAACCTCTCCTCGGGGTCACCTCCAAGGGTCCTTGGGTGCCTGGTACAAGACCAGCCCCTATCCTCGGGTCCGAGTTTGTAGAGAGAGGGATCAAGAGGGACTTAGTCAAAACAGCAAGAGTACCTTGAACGTCGCGCAGCGTATCGTGCAGAACTTCAATCGGATGAAGCTGAAAATTTCCTATATCGAAGCTCGCTCTAAGAGCTTTAAAATGAACCAAGTTGCCTTGCAAAAAGTTCTGCCATTACGAAGTTATGGCTCGGACAGCGTTTGCCTAGCGTTGGAGTGCTAGCGTACTAGCGTTGACTCGGGTAGCATTCTGCCATCGCACCGCGTAGAAACGAAATTCCAGGAAGGAAGGAATTCGCTTGAATCAAATTGACTATATCCAGGTACAAACAGAGAAGGAATAAATAGTTGTAGCTAGCAAGGACCTTGGGAATGAACCTGGGAACAACCAGGGATGATCCCAAATAATTCCAAGCAACAGAACCAACCTGGCTAGACAAAACAGCAGGTGGTAGGTTGGTAAACAACCTCTGGTTCTGTTTTTCCAACCTGGGAAAACAACAACCAGGTTCAGGTCCTAAACACAGAACCTGTTTTGTCTTTTGCCCAACCAGCCAAAAGCTGGTTCCGCTGGTTTCCCCTGGCCCTGTAGCATGCACATACAGACAAACAACATCCAACCTTCACCTAAATTGTACCCCTATAGTGCCTGCCCTGCTACACTATAGTCAACCAAACAAAACAGTACAATTTCGAGTTGCACAATCAATTCAACCGAACCGCAAAGCTTCCAACTTGGGTTCCTTTGCGAGCTCGTCCTTTCTGCTTGTACTGTTCATAGCGCGTAGAATGTTGTGCCGAAGCGCACAACGCGCGAGTACCTGCAAATGCTTCAAGCGAAAATTGCGAAAGCAAACAAACACACGAACATTCCATTCACACCCAAATGCATTCGCACACGCATACTCGTACAAACAGACGGCAGGATGTCGTGCAATGCGAATTTGCACCCAACACCACCCACATGCGTCCCACCCGGTCCCCCTAGTGCCTCTCATCCTGGTACCCTTTCCCCCTCCGGTAGACCCCCTCCCCCCCACAGGGTTCTGCTCCCTCAAATGTATCTCAGGTAGAACCCACCCTTGGTTGAGCCTCTAGAGATCTCTTCTGACTCTTCTGGCCCTGCTGAGGGGGTTGACCTTGCCGCTGATGACATGGCGGCCACTCGCCGCTCTCCACGCTTGGAGACCCCTCCTCGTCGCTGATGACATGTGGATTTTCAAAGTGAAGCGGTCGTTGGTTCTCCGCCTGCCTTCAAGGCGCGTTACGTTACTCTAGGCTCCAGTCAGCGACAGGGGGTCAACTTCTTCCAGACCTTCTCCCCCACCCCAAAGATTACTACTCTTTGGGTGTTGCTGCATGTTGCAACACAACATGACTACGAGCTGCACTCCCTCGACTTCTCCACAGCTTTCTTGCAGGGCAGCCCTCACGAGGAGATATGGCTGCGCCGCCCACCTGGCTTCACTGTGTCGTTTCTTGCGGGTACCTAGTGGAGCCTCCGGCGGCCAGTCTACGGTCTCCGCCATGCGCCCCGCGAGTGGCACGACACACTGAGGACGACACTTGCGGCTCTTGGGTTTGCTCCTTCTTTTGCTGACCCGTCGCTGTTTCTACGCACCGACACTTCTCTGCCGATGTTCTACGTTCTCGTATAAGTCGACAACTTAGTTTTTGCTACTGCCGACACTGAGGCGCTGGCCCTAGTGAAGGCGGAGCTGTAGGAGAGACACACCTGCACTGACCTGGGTGAGCTGCGGAGCTATCTTGGCTTGCAGATCACTCGGGACAGAGCACGGCGCACAATCACCATGACTCAGTCACGCATGGTGCAACAGGTCCTTCAGCGCTTTGGCTTCCATGTTCCCTCGCCACAGCCCACTCCTCTGCCTACTAGCCACTCACTCTCAACTCCACCTTCGGACGAGTCCATATGGCCGAGTGGTCCGTATCCAGAGCTTGTGGGTTGCCTCATGTACCTGATAACGTGCACACGACCTGACCTCGCGTACCCTCTTAGCCTCCTGGCTTGCTACGTGGCTCCCGGTAGACACCGAAAGGTGCACTGGAATGTTGCGAAGAGGGTACTGCGTTACTTATGCAGTACATCGGGCTTCGGGCTCGTGCTTGGAGAACAGGGTTCAGTGGTACTCACAAGACACTCCGACGCTTCTTGGGCCGACAACCAGGCGACTCAGCGTTCGTCACAGATTGACACCTTCAGTCTTGGCTCTGGCTCTGTCTCGTAGAGGTCCACTCGTTCTTCTTCTGTGTTTGGTTCCAGATGTGAGGCCGAGATCTACGCTGGGGCTATGGCTGCATAGGAGCTACGCTGGCTGACCTACCTGCTGACCGATTTGGAGGAGCAGCCCCATTCTCCTCCAGTTCTGTACGTCGACAAGAAGGCCATGCTGGCCTGGTGCCATCTCGATAAAAATGGTTACAAAATTCAATTTTGCATCGAGGCTACAGCCATTTTTGCTTAGGTTGACTTTCGAGGACCTCGCATCCTGCGCGTCCAGTCAGCACGAGCTGGCACGCCCTCAAAGTGAGGTGTTACACTGTACGTTGTCTCTGTGTGTTGGCACTGAATCGTCCATGAGTGAATTCTGATCTGTGACACTTTACAATTTCGATTCATTCGATTGAAATCGCAGGGGTGAGATGTACAATTTGGTGCCTTTAAATTATATATCTGTATTTTCATTTTATAAGCGCATGCGCTTATATTTTTTACTCAATTACACGCGCACCCCCTAAAAAACACTGTAGTATAAGCGCAGGTGCGTTTATATACGGGGTGGTACGGTAGGTTCTTAGTTCTGCTAGGGTACAGTGAGGTGCTAAGAATAGGGTACAACCCCAGTTAGGGTTTCATACGTGTATCTCCCTGTTGCTAGTCATCCATCGTTCATGTCTTTCTACTTCAACAACACTCCCTCCCTTTTCCCTTCCCCAACCCCGACCCTCTCCTGTCCCACACCCTGCCATTCGTCAGATTCATGCCGAGCCTGACTCCCATGCCCCTTGCTGATCCGAGTCTGAGCTACATGCCCGGGATGGGACTGTGGCATCTGAAAGCTGTGATAGACCTATGCATTTCCGAGATACAGGGGACGGTTTGGGGAATGGCAGTAGCAGCACTGATACGATTTTGGTCCAGAATGTAAATTTCAAGTTATGGTATGTCAATATCAAAATCCAGATCAACTCTTTACCGGATCCTTGTCTAGGATACTCCACCTAGTTTGCATTGCTTAGTGGCATTTTCAGCATCTAAAACTACTTGAATAGGTTTACAGCACTCAAGACAAGACAACTGAACAGCAGCAAGTACGGTAGCACTACTTAGCAAAGCAGGCAGCACTGCAGCAAGCGAGCAGAGTGAATGGTGGCTATTAGACGCAGAGGTAGCCGAAGCAGTTGGTGACGTTCTTGACACACGTCAGACTAGCGCAGCGCCAGTCCGTGGTGGGGCAGGCTATGGCCGGGGGGCTGACGCACACCACACCTGCACACACACGTACACGTGCAGGTGGGCGGGGCAAGGAGAACGAGTACGGTAAGAAACGGAAGGAAGGCTCAAGCCAACAGAGTCACTCTCGCATGAACCAGCGACAGCCGCAGCAACCTCCCTGATTCCATTTTCCTCCCCCCGAGGTTTAGGTTTGAGATACTTACTGATGCAAGCCATGGGCAGGTTGGCGGCGCCGACAGCGTTGGGCTTGCCGGCCTTCAAGGGCACGGCGTTGTCGGGGGTGCAGATGCCCTTGCCACGGCACAGCATGCCCTGCCCCATCGTGGCGTTGCAAAAGCTGCACCCCGTGCTGCGCTGCACCGCGCCCCCAGTGGTGCACGTGGTGGTGGCTAGCAGGCAGTTGTTGTTGGCGCTGCATGACGGGGCAGAGTTGGCCGGGAAGTAGCCCGACAGGAAGTTGAAGCTCATGTCGATCAGCTTGAGATTGGCCGACAACGGCGGCACGCGGTACGTCAGGTAGTTGTACGACAACCCGCTGGCTCGGGGAAGAGAGGGGGCAGGGTGGGGATGGGGTGAGGAGTGAGGAGGAAGGTCCGACGAGAGAGAACAATGGACCACTCCAGAATGGATATAGGCGGAGATATGCCGCGCAATTTGACAGCTCAGGGTGACATGAAAAAGGACCGATTTGATTGGTTGATAATTGCTTTTAGGGAGCAAAGGAGCACAGGGAGATAGGGGTGGTGGTTGGAGGGACTGACAGTCGCGTGAGGCTGAGGATGCTCATGAGGTTAGGGGGGATACTGCCGTAGAACCAGTTGAAGTCCAGATGGCTGCAGGCGATACACAGACACATGCAGGCACGCGCACACCAGCACATACCAGCACACACACACACACACACACACCAAGGCATCCATACACACCAGCATACACACACCAGCACACACACACACCAGCACACACATACCAGGGCATACACAACAGCACACACACACCAGGGCATACACACCAGCACACACACACCAACATAACCACACTCACACACACACACACACACACACACACACATGCGCACACACACACATGCAGAGAGCACAGGCAGCACACGCGGATTCAGAGGAAGGGCACGGGAAGTGGGTAAGGTGGCAAGACAAGACGTGATGTGGGGGGAAGGTGGCAAGGGCAGATGATGTGACATGGGGGGAAGGTGGCAAGGCAAGACGTGACGTGGGGGGAAGGTGGCAAGGCAAGATGTGACAAGTGGAAAGCTGGTAAGCAAGTGGTGCCATGCCACGCAAGGAGCAGCAAGGCATGGCGGGGCGAGGAGAGGTGGCAGCAGCAGATGAGTGGTGCGTTGGGAGGCGACTGACAGCTCGACGAGGTAGGTGGGCGAGGGAATGCGGTAGGCAAACTCGTCGAGGCGCGCCTTGAGCAGGTTCGACTTGAGCGAGCTGCTCCACCCACCCGGTGCCACAGACGGGGATGGGAGGGAGGGGGAGAGGAGGGGCAAGGGGAAGGGGGGATAGGAAGGCGAGGGAGAGTAAGATTCCAAGGAGCGAGAAGTTGTGGATGGGCAGCCTGGAAGAGACTGCGAGCATGCATGCGAATGCTTGCATGCATGCGAATGCTTGCATGCCATGCGTATGCTTGCATGCATGCGAATACTTGCATGCCATGCGAATGCTTGCATGCATGCGAATGCTTGCATGCCATGCGAATGCTTGCATGCATGCGAATGCTTGCATGCCGTGCGAATGCTTGCATGCATGCGAATGCTTGCATGCCGTGCGAATGCTTGCATGCATGCGAATGCTTGCATGCCATGCAAATGCTTGCATGCATGCGAATGCTTGCATGCCATGCGAATGCTTGCATGCCATGCGAATGCTTGCATGCATGGGAATGCTTGCATGCATGCGAATGCTTGCATGCATGCGAATGCTTGCATGCATGATGCGAATGCTTGTATCCATGTGAATGCTAGCATGCATGTGAATGCCGGCATGCATGTGAATGCATCCATCTGAATGCCTGCATGCATGTGAATGCCTGCATGCATGTGAATGCTTGCATGCATGTGAATGCTTGCATGCATGTGAATGCTTGCATGCACGTGAATGCTTGCATGCATATGAATGCTTGCATGTATGTCAATGCTTGCATGCATGTGAATGCTTGCATGCATGTGAATGCTTGCATGCATGTGAATGCTTGCATGCATGTGAATGCTTGCATGCATGTGAATGCTTGCATCCATGTGAATGCTTTCATGCATGTGAATCCTTGCATCCATGTGAATGCTTGCATGCCATGTGAATGCTTGCATGCATGTGAATGCTTGCATGCACGTGAATGCTTGCATGCATGTGAATGCTTGCATGCATGTGAATGCTTGCATGCATGTGAATGCTTGCATGCCATGTGAATGCTTGCATGCATGTGAATGCTTGCATGCATGTGAATGCTTGCATGCATGTGAATGCTTGCATGCATGTGAATGCTTGCATGCCATGTGAATGCTTGCATGCCATGTGAATGCTTGCATGGATGTGAATGCTTGCATGCATGTGAATGTTTGCATGCATGTGAATGCTTGCATGCATGTGAATGCCTGCATGCATGTGAATGCCTGCATGCATGTGAATGCTTGCATGCATGTGTTTGCTTGCATGCATGTGAATGCTTGCATGCATGTGAATGCTTGCATACATGTCAATGCTTGCATGCATGTCAATGCTTGCATGCCATGTCAATGCTTGCATGCCATGTAAATGCTTGCATGCATGTGAATGCTTGCGTGCATGTGAATGCTTGCATGCATGTAAGTGCTTGCATGCATGTGAATGCCGGCATGCATATGAATGCATGCATGTGAATGCCTGCATGCATGTGAATGCCTGCATGCATGTGAATGCTTGCATGCATGTGAATGCTTGCATGCATGTGAATGCTTGCATGCATGTGAATGCTTGCATGCATGTCAATGCTTGCATGCATGTGAATGCCTGCATGCATGTGAATGCCTGCATGCATGTGAATGCCTGCATGCATGTGAATGCCTGCATACATGTGAATGCCTGCATGCATGTGAATGCTTGCATGCATGTGAATGCTTGCATGCATGTGAATGCTTGCATGCATGTGAATGCTTGCATGCATGTGAATGCTTGCATGCATGTGAATGCTTGCATGCATGTGAATGCCTGCATGCATGTGAATGCTTGCATGCATGTGAATGCCTGCATGCATGTGAATGCCTGCATGCATGTGAATGCTTGCATGCATGTGAATGCTTGCCATGCATGTCAATGCCTGCATGCATGTCAATGCCTGCATGCATGTGAATGTCTGCATGCATGTGAATGCTTGCATGCATGTGAATGCTTGCATGCATGTGAATGCTTGCATGCATGTGAATGCTTGCATGCATGTGAATGCTTGCATGCATGTGAATGCTTGCATGCATGTGAATGCCTGCATGCATGTGAATGCCTGCATGCATGTGAATGCTTGCATGCATGTGAATGCTTGCATGCATGTCAATGCTTGCATGCATGTCAATGCTTGCATGCATGTCAATGCTTGCATGCATGTGAATGCCTGCATGCATGTGAATGCCTGCATGCATGTGAATGCCTGCATGCATGTGAATGCCTGCATGCATGTGAATGCTTGCATGCATGTGAATGCTTGCATGCATGTGAATTCTTGCATGCATGTGAATGCTTGCATGCATGTGAATGCTTGCATGCATGTGAATGCCTGCATGCATGTGAATGCCTGCATGCATGTGAATGCTTGCATGCATGGGAATGCTTGCCATGCATGTCAATGCCTGCATGCATGTCAATGCCTGCATGCATGTGAATGTCTGCATGCATGTGAATGCCTGCATGCATGTGAATGTCTGCATGCATGTGAATGCCTGCATGCATGTGAATGTCTGCATGCATGTGAATGCCTGCCTGCATCATCTCACAGCCATGCAGCACCTGACACCCTTCCTACAGCCTGTAGGGTGAGTGGAACTGACAGTTCGGTGAGGGACGCCATGTTGAGGAGCGTGGAGGGCACGCTGTCATAGAGGTAGTTCAAGTTGAGGCTCCTGGCGGGCGGGCGAGGGCACATGCAGAGGGGGGGCGCACACATGGGGAGGAGGGCGTGTGAGTACAATGAGGGGGAGAGGGAGGTCGTGTCATAAAGGGCCGAGGTAAGGAGGGCGGGGGACATGCACAGACAGAGAGACGAATGTCTCTACAGAAGGAAGCACTGGGAGGAGAGTGTGAAGCATGTGAGTGAGAGAGTGTGAAGCATGTGAGAAGAGAGTGTGAAGCATGTGAGAGGAGAGTGTGAAGCATGTGAGAGGAGAGTGTGAAGCATGTGAGTGAGAGAGTGTGAAGCATGTGAGTGAGAGAGTGTGAAGCATGTGAATGAGAGAGTGTGAAGCATGTGAATGAGAGAGTGTGAAGCATGTAAGTAAGAGAGTGTGAAGTATGTGAGTGAGAGAGTGCGAAGCATGTGAGAGGAGAGTGGGAGGAGGAGTAAGGCGTTGAGGGGAGGCGAGGGGGCGCACAGGGTGACGATGGCGGTGAGCAGCGTGATGTTGGAGACGAAGGTGGCGAGGCGGCCATACAGCAGATTGTACCCCAGGTTGCTGCTCACGGGGGAGGGGGGGGGGAGAGGGGGATGGGCGAGAAGAGGTGAGGTGCTGCCATGCTGGTGAGGGGCTGGTGAGCATGGGAGAATGGGAGGAGCACCTAAAAGGGGGAGAGCAGAAGTGACGGCTGATAGCGAGGATATGCTTCATTTCGACTCAGAACACACACGGGGGAGCGAAAGTACTGGCTGGTAAAACGGATGTTGGCACATGAGATGAAACACTTACAGGTTGGTGAGAGTGTTGAGCTTAGTGATGTCAGCATGGATGCTGCCCTGCAGATTCATGTTGTCCAACGTGCTGCCACGGCATGATGCACAGGGGGTGGGGTGAGCTAAGTTACAAGACTGGCATTAGAGGCAAAGTTCGGAGACGGAAAGACATACAGAGATGCATGCGATGTGATTCGAGAAGCTCTCGAGAGGGTGAGGAGAGAGAGCGGAGCGGGAGGGATGCTGACAGGGAGAGGATGGTGCCGTTGCCGCTGCGCCACACGCCTGGCCACGACTTGGGTGCAGTGGTCTGCCCCACGAGGTTGCACCCGCTGCTGGCGCTCCAGTCCGAGTGCGTCACTCCCAGCGCCGCCCCTATGTTCAGCACTGCCGCCGCTGCTTACAGCGCGCATGCAGGGGGCCAGCACAAGGAGACACTCAGACGTAGGTGAGTGTCCGTGCACGCATGTGAGCAGCAGGGAGGCGAGCAAGCAGCACGGCACACTGCATGGCGCAAGAGTGGGCTGGGTTGCTGGGGCAGCGCGTGGCAGCGCGGTGCTGTGTGGTGCAGCGCGGTGTGGTGTAGTGCATAGCACACATCATTGGCAGGGGAGCACTCACAAGAATTGGCGTCAAGAGGGGCGGAGGGGCACTTGAGGGCGAGGGTGGGGGCGGAGGCGGTGTTGGGCACTTTGGACGCCACGTACGCCGAGGGGTCTGGCGTGCACACCGCCCCGCCACACAGCGGCACCTGCCCGTTAGTCGACCCGCACACGCTGCAGCCCGCGCCGCGCTGGTCCGTGCCGTCAACGCTGTAGCAGGCGGTGGCGTCGAGGAAACAGTTGGCGCGCGCGGATCAGAAGGCGAGCGTGGCCGCGGGGAAGGAGCCCGCCAGGAAGTTGAACTCCACCCCCAGCGCCTTGAGCGTGGCTGCTGGCTTGGGTAGCACACCCGTGAGGTAGTTGTTACTCATCATGCTGCGCGGGGCAGGGAGAGAGGAAGACAGCGGAGCATTCATGCCTAGGCACACAGGCGCGTGCGCACATATAGAGGCAGACATGAGTCATGCGACAGGAGAGCACGGAAGCAAAGACGCTGAGTGACGTGTATGGAAGACTGAGCAGAGTCAAGGCGCAGGGTCAGGGAACGGGAGGAGAGAGTGGGAGAAGGGCGTTACAGGACGGAGAGGGCGGGCATGTTGATGAGCGTGGTGGGGACGGTGCCATAGAATGAGTTCAAGTTGATGTGCCTGGTGGGGTGGGGGAGGGGAGGAAGGCGATGAAGAGCTGAAACACACATATGCACATGCACACATGCACACACGGACACAAGGTGTATTAATGCCAAGCAAGTTTACGATGTGCTGGGGTGGACAGGAGAGAGAGAAAACCAAGTGAGCAAGAGAGCAGAAGCGAGGGCAGAGGTACTAGAGAGCAAATGGGGAAGGAAGGGATGGGTGATGGGAGAGGCGGAGGAGTGGCGGCACGGACAGCTCCTTGAGGGTGGCAGTGGGCGTGATGGGCACGACGTAGGAGTCGAGGCGGGCGAACAAGAGGTTGGACGCCAGGCGCCTGCACGCACATGCACGCCCAGGGGGTTCAGGAGGGTGGGTGGGTGACGAGGAGGGGTGATGAACGACACTAAAGGAGGAGGATGAAAGGATGCGAGAGAGAGCACGGGCATGGGTTGCCATGTTGTGTCTGTGAGGCTGAGTTGAGGCTTTAGCAAGTGCTGCTGCTAGGGCCACTGGCATGACCCAGAGGAATGGAACGGCGCTAACCGACCAAACAAACATTCCCTTTCGAATAGTTGGTTACACAGATGATGCTTCTGGAAATCCTAGCGTGTTGTATTGAAGGGGTGGCTTACAGCGAGGTGAGGGTGGAGAGCTTGCTGATGTCCGAGTGCACAGTGCCACTCAACAGCTGGCTCCTCAGGTCCCTGTGCAGCCGCACAGGTCCCACGCAGCAGCAGGGTCACACGCAGCAGTAGCGAACACACGCAGCAGCAGCAGCAGCAGCAGGAGCAGAGAAGGGCAGGGGAGAGATGGTAGGTGTGTGACAAGCACCAGAACAAGCACCCGGGACACAAAGGAAAAGAGCGATGCATGGGAGGGACGGCAGGGGAAGCAGCACTCACAGGCTGAGGATTTGGCCTAGCGGAGAGTAGCGCATGCTGGTCCATACACCGGCAATGGGCGTCTGGCCCTGGATGGTGCACGACCCCACCACCTTCCACTCGTACTGCATCGCTGCTGCCCCCCTCGCTTGTAGCACGCGCCGCTTCCTCTGCGCCTTGGGCTTGGCGGGGGTGGCCTTGAGGGCGGCGAGCGTGGCGGCGGTCCAGTCGGAGAAGGTGGCGCCCAGCGAGGCCTTGCGCACCAGCAGTACGTTGCCTTGCGTGGCGTCTAGTGCCACGCCCACGCAGAAGCGCGGTAGCACCGCCGCCGTCGCGCTGTTGGGGGTGCCGCTGCCGAGAGGTGCAGTAGTGTCGGGCGCATACGTGCTGCCGCCGCACACGGTGGTCGAGCCGTCGGTGGTGTCGCACACAGCGCAGGCAGCGGTGGTGCGCTGCACGGTGCCTCCCGTGGTGCAGGCGCCGCTGCTGGCAAGACAGTTGGCGGTGGCGGAGCAGGAGGAGAAGCCAGTGCCGGGGAAGGTGCCCGACAGCCAGTTGCCGTCCAGGGCAATGGCCTTGAGCGCTGCTCCTGGAGCCGGCACGGCGCCGTACAGGTAGTTGTAGCTCGCTCCACTGCGAGCAAGGGAAGTAGGGAAGGGAGGGCAGAAGGGCGGGCAAGGAAGGTTTAGTGTGGAAGCACGTGAGTAGAGAATAGGAGGCTTCAGCAACGGTTAGAAGCAGAAAGGCAGTGGTGTGATACGGAACAGCAGGAGCAGGGCGTGTAATATGTGCATGAGCTTAGATCGCTTGGAGCATGGGTGTGAGTGTGAGGTGTGGCTAGCAAGAGGAGGAGACAGTGGCAAGGCAGACACTGAGACAGTGATGAGGAGTCCCATGGCAAGCAGCGGCGAGACTGACAAGGAGGAGAGTGTGGTGATGGTGACAAGCGTGGAGGGGATGGGTCCCGTGAACCAGTTGAAGTCCAGATAGCTGCACACGCACAAGGAGGAGAGGCCGAAGAGGTGCAGGGATAGGTGAAGGGGTGAGATGGGATGGAAGGAGGCATGCACATCAAAAGCTGACGCCACACACAGAGGTCGCACAAAGAGGATGCAGCGCAAGGAAGGCTAGAGACAAGGCCGTGCAGTGCGGTTCAGCGCGGTGCAGTGCGGTGGTCCTGCCCCATGCATGCAGCACTCACGCTTCCTTGAGCGAGGTGAGCACCTTGAAGTTGGCGGCAAAGACGTCCAGGCGGCCCTCCAGTAAGTTGGACCGCAGATTGCTGCCAGGGGATGCACAGATGTGCGGAATGAACGATGTGGAATGGATGACAGATGGTGGCAGAGTGCACAAGTGCGAATTCAAGAAAAAGGACATGAGTGTGTGGGATTCCACTAGGCAGGCGCGTGTGTCGCTTGCATGCACGCGAGGGTGATCATTTGCAAGTGAGGGTGTCATATGCACGTGAGGGTGCCTACATGCATGTGACGGTACTTACATGTATGTGAGGGCAGTGAGCTTGGAGATGTCTGCATGCATGGTCCCTTGGAGACTCTGTTGGGTCAGATTGCTGTGCATTGACCACCGGCCACACATACACACGCACACAAGGACACACAAGGACACACGTTGAGAACCGAGTCCCGCGGACAAGCGTAACAGTGATTCCAAACAGCTCCCACGGCATATGAAATTCCCAAGAGAATATTGAGAGTGCAAGAGGCACACTCACAGCGACATGACTTTGCCGGTGACGTTGCAGACGACGTTGGACCAACCACTTGCGAGCGGCGGCTGCCCCTAGATGGTGCACGGCGCATCCACCGCCCAGTCCGTGGCCGTCACCCCCACCGACGGCTTCATGTTCAGCAGCGCCGCCGCTGCCAGGGGGGAGGGGGAGGGGGGGATGATGGGGCGCGAGGGGCAGAGCAGCGACAGGACAGGAAAGGAGCACACGCCGTGGCAGAGGGTGAGAATGTGGGAGCATCATGGCAGTGGTGAATGGAGTCAAAGGCATTACGCCGAAGTGCTAGCACGTCATCCCCTTGAGGCTTGCTGGCATTTTCATCCCTTCATGCACTCACCCACCCATGGCAGCGCTCCCATCCATCACAACACACTCACCCATGGCAGCGCTCCCACCCATGTTGTATGCCACCATCCCCTGATGCACTCACCCATGGCAGGGTCCATGGACGCGCCCACGCAGTACAGCGAGGACTCGCCAAAGTTCATGAGCTTGGCGGCGATGCGCTCCGTGGCGTTGGGCGAGCACACGCCGCCGCCACACAGCCTGCCCGTGCCGTCGGCCGTCTGGCAAATGGCGGAGGCAGCTGCAGTGCGCTGAGCTGACCCTGCGGGGCACTTGGAGGCGTCCTGCAGGCAGTTGCTGGCGCAGGCGACGGCGGTGGCGGTGGTGGTGGGGAACGTGCCCACCAGGTAGTTGCTCGACACGTCCACCACGTTGAGGCTCGCTGGCAGCGCTGCTGGCAGGCTGCCCGTCAGGTAGTTCATGTTCACCCGCCTGCATGCCACGGCGCAGCGGAGGACAGTGGTGGAGAGAGGTGCATAGAGAGTTGCGCGTGTGGGAGACGTGGACAAGAGATGTGGGTAAGGGGGAAAGGAGAGGCAGAAAGGAGGAGTTAATGCGAGCGGTTATGATGAGGCATGGAGGGACGGCGATGGGGCCGGGAGCGGTTATTGCGGGACATGGAGGTATAGATTAGCAGGGCAGAGGCTTACAGCTCAGTGAGGGCGGTGAGGGCGGAGATGTTGGCTGGGAAGGAGCCTGAGAAGTAGTTCTGCTGCAGGCGACTGCACGCATGGACGCAAGGGTGTGGGGTGACGGGTGCAGGCAGGGAGAGAGATGAAGTGAGTGCAGGCAGAGATGCAGCAGGAGAGAAGAGGGGTGAATCAACAAACACGATAGTCTCATAGAGCTGCGCGGGTAGCTTACAAGGCGATGAGGGACTTGAGGGGAATGAAGGGCGCAAGGAAGTTGTCGAGGCATAAGGAGAAGAGGTTGGAGGACAAGTCCCTGCCATGAGGCACAGCATGACACACACACACGCGCATGCTCGTTGGTGTATGTTGAGGTATGCACGGGCATATGAGTTGGCACTGGGTTGTGATGGCAACACTGCGGCACGTGGAGCTTACAGGTTGGTGAGCGCGGTGAGCTTTGAGGCATCAGCAGGGAAGTAGCCCACTGCATTGTCACCCGAGAGAACACTGCGATGTGAGACACACCACGATGCACAAGGAAAGAGTTGTGAAAAGTAGGAAAATGTATTAAGCTAGGCTCGAATGGGCCAAAGGAATACATAGGTAGAGAGATTATAGATAGATGAGCGTTTGCCAACAATAACTGGAAATCCCAGATATTTTTGGTTTGGATGGACCAACACTATGGGGCTCCAATAGTTGTCGGATGGGTTGAACCAACAACAGAAGTGACATCCCGCGTGGCAAACACCCACAATGGAAACATATGAAGTCAGATTAGGCGTGGCACGAACTTGTGATGATAAAAATGCATGATGGTAGAACCATGCGTGATCTAATCAGAAGAGAATGGTCGGTACAATCGCCAACGCAAGATGTTGTCAAAACTGGAGCTTAAAACGATACATCAGTAATGAGCTTAAAGCTCTTTAGTACATCCAAACTGAGCTTGGTATGGATGGGGAGGGAATCGGGGGCAGATTTTAGGGATTGGCGGTATCTCCAATTGGTGGGTTGGAGATTGCTTGGAGATAACATTTGCGTTTGGTTGGGATGTGGGTGTACACCCAACCGAACACAAAGTGCAAACTACACAAAGAATAAAGTTCAAGTACAAAAGGTGAGATTGAGGGGGGGGGTCAAGGGAAGAGCAGCGGGGCAAGCAGAGGCGGCGCGCAGAGAGGGGTGAGCAGAGGGGGCGAGCAGGGAGGGGGCGTACATATCGAGGACGTTTCCGGAGGGGTTGCAGAAGAGCGATGGCAGTGTGCCGGGGATGTATGCCTGCCCCACCACCGTCGCCTGCGTCCACAGCCCCGGTGCCATCGCTGCCAGCGCCACTGCTGCCAGCACCACGGGGAGAAGGGAGGAGAGAATGAATTGCGCATCTGAGCAAGCGTTGTGAAGGGGGGTGCAAGGTGTGTTAACTTGAGGTTGCAAATGGTGGCTGCCGCACAAAACGCAAGTGAGGGAAAGAGGTTGTGAAAGGTGCATATAATCTCGAGGCACCTTCTGCCCTTCAACCCTCCAGCACTCGAGGCAAGGAGGTGAGCAGCTGCTGGCAGCACAAGGTTCACACGGGAAAGGCCGGAGCAGCGCTGTTGGAGGGGCTGCCTTGGGAGGCCGAGAAGCAGCGCTGCAGTGAGAGGAATACCTTGGGAGGCTTGCACGGGCACGGGGTCACAGCGCATGACAGGCACGGGGCTCCACTTGTTGACGGCTGTGATGGGCGCCGGCGTGATGGGCACGCACGGATTGCCCATGCACGCCGTGCCCAGCGCGTTGGTAAGGCCGCAGAACTGGCAGCCGTAGCTGGGGATGGAGAGGCTGGGGTTGACGGCGGGGCACGTGATGTAGTTGGCGAGGCAGTTGTAGTACGCCATGCAGAACGTGGCGCCGTTGGCGGGGAACGTGCCGCCCAGGAAATTCTGGTCCACCATCAGGCGCTTCAGAGCGGTGGAGATGGGTGCTGGGAACGTGCCCGTTAGCGCGTTCATGCTCAGCTCGCTGCAGGCAGGCCGGAGGGGAGATGAGGGAGAGGGAGGGAAGGGGGGGGGGGGAGGGAAGGGGGGGTGTGGAGTGGAAAGATGAGAGGGTGTAAAGAGACGGCCACGCGGGCGCAAGAGGGGAGGGCAAAGCAAAGCAGAGATGCAGCACCAGAGGCAGTGGTGAGGGCGAGCCCGATAGACAAGAGGTAAAAGACGAATGGAGCAGAGGGTACGGCGTGGATGGGAAAGCGGATGGGGACAGGCACGAGGCTAAGAGCGACTGGGTGGCAGGGGTTGACGAAGCTAGCGCGGGTAGGCAAGGGCAGGGTTGGGCAGGATGAGGTAGGGTGGGGCAGAGTTTGGAAGGGTTGGGGATGGTTGGAAAGGGTGGGGCACTGACAGGTTGGTGAGCTTAGCAAAGGAGACGAGCCAGAGAGGCACAGAGCCGTAGAGGTAGTTGTTGTTGAGACGACTGGAGGGAGGGCAGGGAGAGAGAGAGCAGTGCGGAGTGGAGGGGGAGGAGATCAGGGTTGAGTGCATTCCAATCTAGCAAGCAAGGCACTTGCAGTGACAGCATGACAGCAGGTTGACAAGGCACTCACAGCAAGAGCAGGTTGGCAAGGCACTCACAGCGAGAGCGGGTTGACAAGGCACTCACAGCGAGAGCAGGTTGATCAGGCACTCACAGCGAGAGCAAGTTGACAAGGCACTCACAGCGAGAGCAGGTTGACAAGGCACTCACAGCGAGAGCAGGTTGACAGGGCACTCACAGCGAGAGCAGGTTGACAAGGCACTCACAGCGAGAGCAGGTTGACAGGGCACTCACAGCGAGAGCAGGTTAACAAGGCACTCACAGCGAGAGCAGGTTGACAGGGCACTTACAGCGAGAGCAGGTTGGTTGAGAGTTTAAGGGGAGAGGCCCACGTGTCGACGTTATCTCTGAGGAAGTTGAAGCTCACGTCCCTGCACGGGCAGCAGCAGATGGCGGCAGGAGGAGCGCAGGGGGGAGAGGGAGGGAGGTCACGAGGGCACGGAGGATTGGCCCAAATGTCTAGACTACTTCTCACCATGGGCGCTCAGCAAAGGGCAGAATGTGGGCGGCACTCAGCAAAGGGCAGCAAGTGGGCGGCACTCACAGCACGGTGAGCGTGGAGAGCTTGCTGATGTTAGCATGGAGCGAGCTGGTGAGCTTCTGATTGTCCAGCTTCCTGTCAGCGTGGGATGGGGGGAAGCAGCATGGTTGAAGGGGTGCAACATGGTGGGGAGTTGGGTGCTGGCATGCTCGCACCGTTGCTAACACAAATGGCATGATAGCCAGCAATAATATTTTTGGGCGGCCAGAACCAGCACGCAGGATAGGCAATGCGTGCATTGGATGAAATGGGAAGAAAGAGCAGGACAACGAGCAAGGGAGGGAGGGCGCTGACAGGTTGACGGGCTGGCCGAAGGAGTTGCAGAGCAGCCCGGACCACGAGCCGGCCACGGGGGTCTGCCCCTCCACCGTGCAGTACCCGCCCGTCACCATCTAGTCCGTCAGCGCCACACTGCCACCGCCGGTCGCCGTCGCCTTGGGCTTGAGCAGCGCCGTGGGCGCCGTCCAGTCCGTGAACGTCAACCCCAGCGCCGTCTTCAGGTTGCCCAGCGCCGCGGCTGACACGCAGTGAGTGACAGAGGCGAGCGATGGGGGTCCCAGAAAGTAGCAAGGGACATGAGGATACGGAGGAGTGAGAGGAAGGTTGGAGAGTGGGAGAGAGAGCGAAAGGGGGCCAGGTGCAGATGATGCAGGGAAGTGACTAGCACCCAGCATGGTGGTGAGGGGAGAAGAGCACATGCAGCATGGAGAATAGTGCATGTGCATAGCAGCATGGTGCATGGTGCCAGCAAGGGCAACGGCACATCACCTGCAGCAGCGTCGATGGTGATACTGGTGCAGTACATGGGCATGATGGGCGTGGACAGCGTGGGGGTGCTGCCGCTCGCCACTGCATCCGTCGCATTCGGCACGCATAGCCCGCCGCCGCACAGAGTGCCCTGCGCGTTGGTGCTGCCGCAGATGGCGCAGGCAATGCGGGTCTGAGTGCCGCCGGTGGTGCAGCTGCCCTGCGAGGTGAGGCAGTTGAGCGCCGCTGAGCACGTCACACCCGTGAGCGTGCCGATGCTGCCCGACGGGAAGTTGCCTCCCATGGACAGGGTCTTGAGCACCGTGCCTACGATTGCAGGCACGGTGCCTGTGAGGTAGTTGTAGCTCACATGGCTAGGAGGACGGCACAGCAACGCAATGCACGGGCGGGTGGGGCGCAGAAAGTCAAGAACGTGAGGTAGAGGCTGCAGGACAGGGTGGCCTAACATGCAGCTCAGTATTGGACATGAGCATAGTACAGAAGTGTGGTTCGGTTCAACTCGAACGAGTTCACTACAAATGGGTTTGGTACGAAGAAGTTTGTTCCACTTATTGTCTACATCTGGTTCGGGTTCGGTTCTTGCTCATGTGGAAGTATCAGGGGGGACACACAAGGCAAACGCAGGAGAGCAGCAGCAAAAACGATGACACCAATCAGGGGGCATGTAACGAGAGGTGGGCCGTGAGTGGGAGATATGTAGGGTCAAAAGAGTTACAGGTTGGTAAGTGTGGGGAGAGTGAGCAGCGCGGAGGGCAGCGGACCCGCGAAGAAGTTGAAGCGCGCCTTGCTGCAGACGGACAGGCAGTGAGGGGAGGCAGAGCAGGCACGGGCAGAGGGAGTAATAGTGAGAGCAGGCACGGGCACAAAAGCGACGAAAACGTGGAAGTAGAACAACGGAGAGCACGCGACTCGGAGAAGGGAGAAGTGTTGCGATGAAGCATGTGACTCGAATCGAATGGTGGCATGGGCAGAGGGCACGTGGGGTGCAGAGAGTAGCTGGGGTGCAGAGGGAAAGTGGGAGGCAGAGCGCAGGGGGGACGCAGAGGGCAAGGGGGCAAGACGACCGACAATAGCTTGAGCGCTGAGAGCCCCTTGAAAGCCGACGTGAAGAAGGCCAGGCGGCCCTGCAGCAGGTTGCTGTCCAGCACGCTGCAGAGAGCACGGGACGGGATGGGGAAGGCGGGGGAAGGGGTGCGGAGGGGAGATAAATGCAGGTGAGAGAGGCGATCTGGCAGCAAGGAGAGTCATGAGTTTACAGTGAGGTGAGAGAGGTCAGCCTGCAGGGCTATACGAGTGATGAGCTTACAGCGAGGTGAGAGTGGTGAGCTTGGTGATGTCCGCGTGCATGCTCCCCTTCAACAGCTGATTCGACGGGTCGCTGCATAGGCACAGGCAAGCGGGGGAGCAGCGGGGCACGAGGGGGGCGAATGGGGATCACAGGCCAGGGCACGCAAAGATAGAGCAAGACAGGCGGCTTGATGCTGCGACTGTGCCCAACGCAACAGTGCGGTGAGAGCTGTGAGCTTGGAGATGTCGACGGACAGGCTTCCAGTCAGCTTCTGGTTTGGCAGCACCCTGCAGGTTGGTCAGGGGAAGAAGTAGAACAAGGGGTGGGGAGAGGGAAAATCTGAACAAGAGAAAGAGACAACAAGGGAACGAAGAAGAACGAGTGTATGTGCAGGTTGTTGGTATGATGTTAGCATGCGGAAAAGAAGGCGGGCACTCACAGCAGGTGGGCACTCACAGCACGCGGGCACTCACAGAGCCACAACGGTGCCAGCGGGGTTGCAGATGACGCCGGTCCACGAGCCGGGCGCAGGGGCCTGCCCCTCCACCGTGCATGCGCCCACACTGGTGGCCATGGGCACACTGCCGCTGGCGCTGGCACTCTTCAGCGCTGCCTTGGGCTGCAGCACCACCGTGGTGGCCGCCCAGTCCGTGGCCGTCACTCCCAGCACCGTCTTCAGCGCCAGCAGCGTTGCAGCTGCACACGAGAGTTGAAGAGAGGGGCCGCAGTGGTGGTGGTGAGGACGAGTGAGTGGGGAGGGGAAGAGGGGAAACATTTGAGAGCACTAGAGGGGATGTTGTGCATGGCAGGAGCGGCACTCACTGGTGTTGGCTTCCAAGGCAACAGGCGTGCAGTAGAGGTTGCGCGGGGGGGTCGACGCGGTGGGAGGCGCCGTGACGCCCGTGGCGTTAACAAGGCATGCCACGCCGCCGTACAGCGTGCCCTGGCCAGCTTCGGTGCCGCAGATGGCGCAGTCAGAGGCGCTGTGCTGAGTGATGCCCGCCCCCGCACAGTTGTTGGCGTCCGTGAGGCAGTTGGTGGTGGCGCCGCAGTAGGTGAGCGTGTTGGTGGGAAAGGCGCCCGACAAGAAGTTGCCCTGCACGCCCAGCCACTTAGTGGTCGCCGGCACAGCGGGGACAGAGCCCGTGAGGTATTTGAATGCCATGGAGCTGTACGGCAGAGGGGAGGCCAGGGAGGGGAGGGGAGGGCAGAGGGGATAGACATGCGTGAGGAAGGAGGAAAGGGGTGAGATAGATGCTGCGAGATTGAGAGTGCGGAAAGGTGAGGTGTGGTGTGGAGACAGCAGAAGGAAGGGAGGGGGGCGGGGTGGAGGGGAGAGGGGTTGGTAGAGCACTGACAGCTTGGAATGGGTGGTGAGGGCGAGGGCGGCGGTTGGGAGAGACACGAGTGCGGAAGGAGGAAAGGCGTGAGTGATAGATGCAGCAGCGGGCAGCAAGGCACTTACAACTTGGAGAGGGTGGAGAGGGCGAGGAGGGCGGTGGGAAACGGGCCCGACAGGTAGTTGTACTGCAGCGCACTGCAGCACCGCGCATGGGGGACGGTGGAGAGGGGGGGGGGGCATGGGGAAATCAGAAGGCGTTGAGTGAGTGATGAGAGTGATTGTGCATTGTGGGAAAGACTGAACCTGGAACAGTGCAAGAACATAGATGATGCATGGATGGGTGCATGGCCGGATGCACACAGGCATGGGTTCTCAGCATGCTTGCATGTATGGCACGGCAGCAGGGATGCAGCAGGGGGTGTTGGCAGGTAGTGGCGACTCACAGCTCCTTGAGCACGAGGGGCGCCTTGATGCCGGCCGTGAAGGAGTCGAGGCGGTCCTGCACCACGTTGGACTGCAGGTCACTGCAGGTAGCACGCATGCAGGCACACACACACAAGGCACAGCACACAATAACGATTTAAGTACAAAGGCAGAAGTACTCAGAGCAGAAAGGAACATTTAAGGCCAGCAAGCAGGCACATATTGGAGAGAGGTGGAAGGAGAGCATTCGGACTGACATTGAGGAGAGAGTGGAGAGCTTGGAGATGTCGCCATGGATGCTGCCCGCCAGCTTCTGAGAGTTGATGACTTTGCACATTGGACACGCAACCAACGCCATACAAAGAGTGCAGAGAGAACACATAACACTTGACAAGGAAACGATATGGTGTCCAAAGAAACTGTCTGCAGGGATGTGTTGCAGGCATACAGTTGCAGCTGCTCCTCTCTGCATGTGCACTCACATGCCCAACACTTTGCCAGTGCTGTTGCAGGTGACGCCGCTCCACGACCCGGGGGCGACGCTACCAGGCAGGGAGCAGGGCGAATCAACCTTCCAGTCAGAGAAGGTCACTCCCAGTGACGCCTTGAGGTTGAGCATGGCGCCCGCATGCACCGTGTCCATCGCCACAAACGCCGCGCCCACGCAGATGAGCGGCAGCGAGGGGGACGCGGCGCTGTTGGGCGTGCCCGCCGCCACCAGGTCAGCGGCGCTCACCGTGCACAGCCCACCGTTGCACAGACGCCCCTGCGCGTTGGTGGTGTTGCAGATGGCGCATGCAGCGGCGGCCCACGGGAGCTCGGCGGCGCGGTTGGGGTTGTTGCACTTGGTGGCGTCGAGGAAGCAGTTCATGCGCGCGGCACAGAGGGTGAGGGTGAGCGTGGGGAAGGTGCCGGCGAGGAATTTGAACTGCACGTCCACCACGGCGAGAGGCGATGTCACGTCGGGCAGCGCTCCCGTGAGGTAGTTGTAGCCTAGCGTGCTATGGAGCAGAGCAGAGGACAGGGAGAGGGAGAGGTAGCGGGTGAGCGTGGAGAAGGAGGCGGCGAGGAAGTTGAAGTGCACTGCAGATCCACCGCCGCCTGCAGGGATGTCACCGGGGGCAGCGCGGCCGTGAGGTCGTTGTAGCCCAGTGCGCTGTGAAGCAGAGCAGAGGGAGAGACGGGAGGCAAGGTTGCAATGCAATGCAACGCAAGTGGGAATGGGATGATTCAGAGTGACAGTAGAGTGAAATATAAACGGGTTTCAAGGGAGATGGGGAATACAAAACGAATAGTTTTGTGGCATGCCGATATGGCCAGACGGCAGTCGGGAGGCGAGGCGCAAAGAGAAGCCTAGGGAGTCACAGCTTTTGCTTTGGAAGTGATCCCCTCCGAGTGCAGGCGGGTGGAGGGAGCAGTGGAGAGGGGGATGTGGAACTTACAGCTTTGTGAGGCTGGGGAGGGCGAGCATGAACGCAGGCACAGAGCCCGAGAACCAGTTGTAGGCGAGATCGCTGTGAGCATGGCATGGCATGGCATAGCATGGGTGGGTGGGTGGGTGAGGTGCGGTATGGTGGGGTGGGGGGAAGGGAGCAGAGGCGCAGGCATAAGAGGGTGACAAGATGCAAACGGGCCAGTGGTGGTAAGGAACCATTGAGCAGAAACGAAGCACAGGCGTAAAAAAGCAACGAGCGAGAGCACATTCACATGGTGTGGGAACCGGCTCGACACAGAGCCGGGTGCAGCCCCTGCAAGAACATGCTCACAGCGCCACATACATTCCCATGGCCTCGTGCACACAGCGCGAAATGATTTTATATGAGAGTAGAGTAAAGGGCTCACATGGATTTAAGGTTGGTGAGCAGGCGCAGCTGCGTGGTGATTTCGTCCAGCCGGCCCTGGAAGAGGTTGGAGGTGAGATCACTGGGGGGGGAGGGGCAGAGAGGAGAGTGAATGAGGAGAGTGGGTCGATGAGGAGAGGATGAAGAGATTGGGTTGGGGTAATGATGGTCGGTTGACAATGCAGAGAGTGGGTGGAGGGGCGTATGATTTCGTAGCTAATATAGATGCAAGCAAGGGTGGAGTACAGGGCGCAGTGAGGAGAGTGACGTGGCGGCAGGGAGGGAGGGGAAGGAGGGGAGGGAGGGAAGGGAAGGAGGGGAGGGAGGGAGGGGATGGAGGGGAGGAAGGGAGGGAGGAATGGGAGGAAGGAAGAGGAAGGAGGGGAGGAAGGAGGGGAGAACGGAGGCGAAGGCGGGGAGGGAGGGAGGGGAAGGAGGGGAGGAAGGGAGAAGGAGGGGAGGAAGGGAAGGGAAGGATGGGAGGAAGGGAGGGGAAGGAAGGGAGGAAGGGAGGGGAAAGATGAGAGGAAGGGAGGGGAAGGATGGGAGGAAGGGAGGGGAAGGATGGGAGGAAGGGAGAGGAAGGAGGGGAGGAAAGGAGGGGAAAGATGAGAGGAAGGGAGGGGAAGGATGGGAGGAAGGGAGGGGAAAGATGAGAGGAAGGGAGAGGAAGGATGGAAGGAAGGTGGGCGCACATGAATGTGAGCGCCATGAGGGCGGAGATGGCTTGTGGCAGAGTGCCCGTGAGCTTGTTGTTGGGCAGTTGCCTGTAGGGCGAACAGGCAGAGTGGAGCACACACAGCAGGCACGGTGGAGCACACACAAGGCACAGGGGCACGGGATTGATGAGCGTAAAGAAGGGTGGTAGTCAGAGGCGAGGCGAACGATACAGCATAGCATGCATGGTGCAAGAGCATGACAGGTGAGCAGAGCAGGGCAAGGGCAGGGGAGCAGCGAGCAAGGCAGGTGGACTGACAGGCTGACGACGTTGCCAGTGATGGGCGCAGCGGGCGCCATGGTGCAGTAGGTGGCCGGCGCCCACGTGCTGTGCGTCACCCCCACCGCACTCTTGAGCGCCGCCATCACTTGCGCTGCCATGCACACAGGAGGGTGGTGGGTAAGAGGGGAGGGGGGGGGGGGGGGGGGGTGGGGGGTGGAGACACACGCATACGAAAAGAGTGAAGCGATGAGGGGGCACATGGCATAAGAGGAGAGAAGGTGGCATGCTGTATGGCATTGGGGGAGGCGGCATGCTGTATGGCATTGGGGGAGGTGGCATGCTGCATGGCATTGGGGGAGGTGGCATGCTGCATGGCATTGGGGGAGGTGGCATGCTGCATGGCATTGGGGGAGGTGGCATGCTGCATGGCATTGGGGGAGGTGGCATGCTGCATGGCATTGGGGGAGGTGGCATGCTGCATGGCATTGGGGGAGGCGGCATGCTGCATGGCATTGAGGGAGGTGGCATGCTGCATAGCATTGGGGGAGGTGGCATGCTGCATGGCATTGGGGGAGGTGGCATGCTGCATGGCATTGGGGGAGGTGGCATGCTGCATAACATTGGGGGAGGTGGCATGCTGCATAACATTGGGGGAGGTGGCATGCTGCATGGCATTCGGGGAGGTGGTATGCTGCCTGGCATTGGAGGAGTGTTGGGTGCAAATTCACATTGCACGACATCCTGCCGTCTGTTTGTACGAGTATGCGTATGCGAATGCATTTGGGTGTGAATGGAATGTTCGTGTGTTTGTTTGCTTTCGCAATTTTCGCTTGAAGCATTTGCAGGTACTCGCGCGTTGTGCGCTTCGGCACAACATTCTACGCGCTATGAACAGTACAAGCAGAAAGGACGAGCTCGCAAAGGAACCCAAGTTGGAAGCTTTGCGGTTCGGTTGAATTGATTGTGCAGATTCAGTTCTATCCAACTCGAAATTGTACTGTTTTGTTTGGTTGACTATAGTGTAGCAGGGCAGGCACTATAGGGGTACAATTTAGGTGAAGGTTGGATGTTGTTTGTCTGTATCTGCATGCTACAGGGCCAGGAGAAACCAGCGGAACCAGCTTTTGGCTGGTTGGGCAAAAGACGAAACAGGTTCTGTGTTTAGGACCTGAACCTGGTTGTTGTTTTCCCAGGTTGGAAAAACAGAACCAGAGGTTGTTTACCAACCTACCACCTGCTGTTTCGTCTAGCCAGGTTGGTTCTGTTGCTTGGAATTATTTGGGATCATCCCTGGTTGTTCCCAGGTTCATTCCCAAGGTCCTTGCTAGCTAGAACTATTTATTCCTTCTCTGTTTGTACCTGGATATAGTCAATTTGATTCCAGCAAATTCCTTCCTTCCTGGAATTTCGTTTCTACGCGGTGCGATGGCAGAATGCTACCCGAGTCAACGCTAGTACGCTAGCACTCCAACGCTAGGCAAACGCTGTCCGAGCCATAACTTCGTAATGGCAGAACTTTTCGCGAGACAACTTGGTTCATTTTAAAGCTCTTGGAGCGAGCTTCGATATAGGAAATTTTCAGCTTAATGCGATTGACGGTCTGCACAATACGCTGCGCGACGTTCAAGGTACTCTTGCTGTTTTGACTAAGTCCCTCTTGATCCCTCTCTCTACAAACTCGGACCCGAGGATAGGGGCTGGTCTTGTACCAGGCACCCAAGGACCCTTGGAGGTGACCCCGAGGAGAGGTTTTAAGTTTGATAAAGTCTTAATAGCTTGAGTTTATTAGGCCCTTACACCAACAAGCTAGTATCAGAGCTGCGTTATAGTGATCCTCGTTATAGGTAGCTATGGCGGGCAACATCTCGACGGGAGCTGGTGAATCTTCAGCCCAAGATCGTAGCGGCAGCCATGATTCTGGTGTTTCAGCGCCAAGGGGAGCGCGAACAAACCAGGGCTCGCTGGTCAAGGAGGTGCTGAAGAATTTCACCGTCGAGAAGTTCAATGGTGAGGGCTATGATGATTGGGCCTGGAAGATGCAACTCTATTTCCGTCAGATTGGATTGCTGAAACTAATGATTGGGGAGGAGCCTAGACCGAGTGACCCCACGCTGCAGGAAGACTGGGACGAGCGCTCCTCGGCTGGCTACTATTTGATGTCGCAGAGTTTGGAGCTGAACCAGCGTCACCACGTTATGCACCTGCTGCCGGAGGTTGAGTGCGGTCCGAAGGCATGGACCGTGTTGAAGGAGCTGCACGCCCCGACCTCCGTTGTTGCAACGTTGATGCTGGAGAGGGAGCTGTCCGCGTTGCGCCTGAGCGAGGGAGAGCCGGTGCAACCTGTCCTGGACAAGATGCGCGACCTCTACGCAAAGTTGGCGACCGCGGGAATCACCTACCCGGAGCAGACCAAGTGCTTGAAGATGCTCTCGCTGCTGCCGGAATCGTGGCTTCAATTCACGAGCGGATTGAGCCTGCCGCAGAACCAGAGCTCTTGGACACTCGAGTGGGTGTGGACAAAGATTCTGGAGGAGGACTTCCGTCGCCGCCAACTAAGGGGTGGAGACGATGGCAGCAGCGGTTACGGGATGCAAGGGAGCCGACGTGGCAGAGGACGTGGCTTCGGTGGTGCTGGACGCGGTGCAAAGAAGGACGACGACTCCAACGACCAACAAGGAGGTACCGGTTGGGGTCGTGGTGCGAAATCTGGACGTGGGGGCAAGTCGGGTGCTGGTGGCAAAATCAAAGGGAGTTGCTGGTATTGTGAGAAGGAGGGGCACCCCTGGTTTTTGTGCTATAAGAAACCCGATGGATGGACCCCCCAGAATCGTCACCAGGATGGCGGCGCGCGGAGGAACCAGAAAAACGGCGCGAGCATGGTCGCCGATTCGTCCGAAAACAACCCGAAGAGCAACGGCGGTGCGGAAAAGAAGGAGCGCACCGCGGGCCAGTTCTTCCATATTGGAGAGCAGGGGGAGCAAGGAGACGCCTCTGCCAAGGTTGGAGCAGAGCTGCACCCTCTGGACTATTGGGTGTTGGACACGGGCGCTGCTTGGACGATGACGCCGCGCAAGGACCTGCTGGATCACGTACGCGCTGCACCGATCAACGAGGTGTGCTCCGCATCTGGACACGCGCTGAAGGTGGCTGGTGCGGGACGAGCTGCGTTTAAGGGAGCGGATGGCAAGCCGGTGGTGCTGCACGACGTTCTCCTCGTTCCTGAACTCAAAACCAACCTCATCTCCCTCCGTAAGCTTGCCAAGGCTGGGGTGAGCACTAGCACGGATGGGGCACGCACTTACAAGGGGCAGCTGGGCAATCGGGTGCTTTGGGATTTGCACGAGAGCAAGGACGTGTACAGATCCATGTGGCAGCTGCCGGCGTTGGCGTGGCACGTTGGGGGGCAGGCTAGAGAGGGGTCTGCATCCCAGGGGGAGTGCAACGCCGTTGGAGGGGTTGGTGTGAAAGTGTCGGCCAGATCTGGGGAGACAGATTGGGCAACGGCACACCGACGCTTGGGGCATGTGGCAATGCCCTTGTTGAAGCAGTTGGAGAAAGATGGAGCCGTTAAGGGTCTGAAGCTGAACGGACAGCCATCTGATGATAATTGTGAAATCTGTTTGCTCTCAAAGTTTACTCGTTTCCCCTTCCATAGTGTGGCTGGCAGGAGCAAGAAGCCATTGGAGCTGGTCCACATGGACTTGGTGGGGCCGCTGCCGGTTCAGGGGCACAAGGGGGAGCGGTACTTTCTGACCATAGTGGATGATTGGAGCAGGCTTATGTGGGCATATCCGCTGAAGCAGAAGGACCACGCCGCCTCTACGATACGGGATGATTGGCTGCCATTCGTGGAGAAGCAAGCGGAGTGTGTGGTGAAGCGGATTAGGACAGATCGGGGTGGTGAGTTCCTTGGAGCTGAGATGACGGCCTGGCTCAAGAAGCAGGGCATCCAGAGGGAGCTGACCACGGCTTACACCCCACAGTCTAACGGTGTAGCAGAACGGGCGAACCGGACAATTCTGAAGACAGCTAGGGCGCTGCTCATAGAATCTGGGCTGGGCAACTCGATGTGGCCCCATGCTGTTCGGCACGCTACCGTCGCTAGGAACAGGGTACTCACAAAGGTTGGGGATGACTCGTGGGTGCTGTTGGAGAGGTGGCTTGGGAGGAAGCCGCCAGTGGACATGCTGAGGGTGTTCGGTTGCATGGCAGTCGCCCACGTCCCCAAGACCTACCGCAGTAAGTTGGGGGCAAGTGCAATCTGGTGTGTGCATTTGGGGCTGGCTGCTGAGAGCAAGGGATGGCTGCTGTGGGAACCATCCAAGGGTGTGTTGTTTGACAGCAGGGATGTGAAGTTTGTTGAGGGCATGATGTATGGGAGCTGGGAGAAACAGCCGGAGGCCAGGGTGTCCCAGCAAATGGAGCAGATCACCATGCAGCTGGACATGACTCCTAGTGTGTGGGAGGAGGGAGAGCAGGTAGCTGCAGAGGGTGGTGATGGAGAGAAGGTACAGGAGGCATCTGCTGGTGGAAAAAATGATGTGGAGACTAGCACTAGTGGAGCTGCTGGATCCAAGGGAGGAGAGCAGCAGCAGGGGAAAACTAAGAAGCCGAAGAGTGTTGTTATGAAGGGATGGGAGACACCCGTCTCCAGGCCAGGACGTACCCGTATGGCTACTAAGAAGTTGACTGCAGGAGCTGATGTAGCAGAGCAGCAGCTTGGGACAGAGGAGGCATTGCTGATTCTACCTCATGGCTATGACCCGGATGAGGAGGATGAACCTGCCTACTGTTTTCTTGCCCCTGCACCAGAGGAACCAGCTAGCATGGAGGAGGCATTAGCTGGACCAGATAGGGAGAAGTGGCTGGTTTCTAGGGATGCTGAGTACCAGAGCCTACTAGAGAATGGGACATGGGATCTGGTGGTGCTGCCCGATGGGAAGAAAGCTGTACAGTGCAAGTGGGTGCTAAGGATCAAGACCGATGACAAGGGACGGGTCACCATCTACAAGAGTAGGCTGGTGGCTAAGGGGTTTATGCAGAAGGAGAAGCGGGACTTCAATGAGATTTTTGCTCCCACTGCCAAACCCCCTACCCTTCGTGTCTTGTTGGCAGATGCAACCGTTAGTGGGAAATTCATCATTCAGATGG